AATGTGTTAGTAGTGTGCATAATTAGCATAATTAGCAGCTAGTATGTTCTATGTAACTAGCGGGGTGACCTGCGCATTTCCGTGGCTAGACTTTACACGTAACGATCATGTCATACTTGATTTTTATCTTAACTTAAATATTAGTACTTCACTTTATCATGTAGTATTCCATTCATATATTAGAAGCCAATGTGAGGAACGCTTGATTATCTCCTGGCAAGCAAAGGAACACTCGATTACCAACATTCTTTTAAATTTAAATGTTGATGCCTCACACATAAACATTGCGTCCTTTTTCTTCATTCATCTCCTCATCAGTATGTGGAACTAATCTCACACTATTGGGTAATGAAGTGGCATGCATCCAAATGCTTTCACAACACTCATTCTACTGTAATATGCTCTATGGTTCAAGAAAAAAATAACGTTCAATGGTATGGTATACGAAACTAATGTAATGTATTTTCTCATTGAAATTGCTAAATGATTCTCTATTCATCAGTTCGGTCATACATTATCTGTTCCCGGTCTTGCACATGTTGTTTTTTATTATTTAATTGAGCATCTAAATGGAGATATTACATATGAAATTTTACTTCTACACTTTGTGATTGTCACCACAAACCATGTTACTTTCTTCATCAGGAACACTCTCTTGGAAACAAAGAACATTTTCGTTGTTCTGATGAATGTGACCTTTATATATGCACGTATATGATGTACTCCATCACCGACCACAATTCATGAGTGCTTCCACTCATCTATATTTACTCATGCCGTTTATTATTGTATAACGAAACATGTCTATGTTAATTAAGATTACCAAGCAAACTTTAGCTATTTATGGACTCTATGTGGAGACCATCTATTTCTTATATTAAAATTGTTATACCTAATAACAATTTTTTGGATCTATAATTTGGTTTGAATTTTCTTCTAAAATTGTATTGCCCATTGCTAATTTCATATATCAAATATAATTATATTCTATTGACCTCGAATCTAATGTTTTATTTTTAAGGCCTTTTCTATAAACACTGGCTTTGTTGTTTTCCTTGAATATTTCACTTCAAAGAGTAGCGATATTATTCCATGCCTTTAGTCCACAATAGGGCTCGCGGTGCCTTTTCCTTTATTCAAGCATCGCGAGGCATCTACTGGATGTATGTTGTCAATGTTGTTATCATTGTGCCCACGCTTTGTGCTTATGATCTGATACACTATGTCACTTCATCCTGCTGCTTCTTCTTTGGAAGATCTGGGATATCCGGAATGCCCAAGCATTTCGCTCCGTGAACAATCACTCGGCAAATACTCTCAGACTTATGGTCTCTGATTTGGATTTATGGTCTCATAGACCATGTAAGACTATTGACAAGGAACACACTTTCTCGTGGCGTTCTTTCCTCTCCCCACGTGCTTGTATGCCTATGTAATTCTGTTACACCTGTAATCAGCTATGGTTGCATTACGCTTTGATAAATATATTCAGGTGGGGAACACCCACACCCCCCATGCGTGCGCGCATTGATTACTCAAGAAAAGGCTCTGTGAACACATAGAAGCATAGGAGAAAAAGGGAAACAATCTAATGCAATAGGGTAGAATAGCCTTTGGGTAGTTTGTATTTGCCTTTTTAGGATTATTCATGCAAAGTGAGGGATTTGTCTCCTCCGATGTTGCTTTGAGGAGTATGTCAGTTTTTGGTCTTTGAGAGACACCCCTTCTATGCTAGTATGATCTTTTGTTTGCTCTTCTTCGATTGTGTTCCACAAAAATATTGATCGTTGCTTCGTCAATCCCAGTTTGATAAAATGTTCATAGTAGGCTATCATTTTTGAACCAAACGTTCTAGCTAGGCTACCACCTTTTGCAAGTGCTTCTAATATATCTATTTTCAATCCTTTGGGCATTTTTGTGTCTAGGGCCCCTGATGATGGTGTCTAAAGCAACTCCATTTATGAGTTGGCTCCATTTTTTTAGAAAAGGAGGGTGACCCCCGGCCTCTGCATCTGGGCGATGCATACAATAGCTTTATTAATTATTTTCACAAGACCGTACAAAGCCATACAACAGCAAGACTAAAGCCACCGTCTAAGCAACAATTGTCGCTACACCTATCCAATCGATGAAGGGGCGCAGATAGTCTGGGCCTAATACCAAACAGACTTCGCAGCCAAACCTAAACATCTGAGACCTGAGGTCCCAACCAGGACGCCTGCCGGGTATGGGGCACCTACCAGTCCGGTGCACTCCTCAACCAGGACGCCTGCCGGGTATGAGGTCGCCGCAGCCACCTGCCACCAAACCATCTTTAGAGCTGTACTGTTGCATGTACCGTGTGCCAGCTCTCTCTGCCATCGACGCCACCACGACGCCCGACAACGTCGTCCTCCTGGCGAGTCCATCCTCCCACAGCGAACCCCGAAACTGCACTGCGCCACGCCGTCAAGGTCCGTCGCCATCAATGTGTAGGATGAAGCACCGCTCCACCAAAGAATCCGTCCTTTGGTCCCTCGATCACGTGTGTACCTCCAAGAATGACGCCCCCAAGGGAGGAACGACACCAGAGCGCCGTCGTCATCCGATCATCCGATCTGGGGTTTCCCCCGAAGGTAGCAGAGAGTGGCCTTGAACTTCTCCATGGCGATGCCTTCAAGAAGGGAACGACGCAGATAGCGCCGCCACCTCCGGCCTTAGCAGGAGCTGAAGGCAAGTTTTCACCCAGATCAGTTCGAAGGGATCCAACTCTCGTGCCCGGGCCGCCCTCACCACCAGCACCACCAGGCAGACCCTGGAGTACCGGCATATCAGCGAGCTGCCGGCACCACCGCATCCAGATCGCCGGCCACGCCGGGCCACCGCCACCCCCGCGCCGTCCGGGTCAGAGGCGGAGCCGCCAAGAGCCCAGCGCCCGCCACCGCTTGCCGAAGCCAACCGCCCGAGCACTGGCGCCACCGTGGAGCCATCAGATCGGGGAGGAAGACGCGCGCCGACCACGCTCGCGGACCCCGCCGCACGCCCGAGCGCCGGCGCCATCAGATCGGGATGAGGAGGAGCCCGCGTGCTCGAGCCCCGCGCAGACCACGCCGCCGCCACCAAGCAGGGGAGTCCCGCCCAGATCCGCCGGTGGCCCGACCTGCCACCGAGACGAGCGCCGCCGCGAGGGCTGGCCGTCCCACGCCGCCCAGGAGCCTCGCGATGGGGGAGGAAGCCCCGCCGCCGCCGCCAGGGGATGCCTACTTAGCTCGTAGGATAAGTGTACATAGTGCTTAGAGTAGCTTTGATACGGAAACTGTTGATAAAGACATTCCTTGAAAGAACATCTCTAGATAATGAACCCTTTACGCGCGCGCACATACACACACATCTATCGATTGTGTGTTCTCCACACTCCTCGCTTCGTTGAGTTTCACCGCCTTAACTGACTCTCTCTCTCTCCCCTACACCATTCATTAGCAGAAAATGATGCAAGGAAGAAGAAAAGAAATAAAGAAGAGAGAATAGGTAGCTTGAGAATAGGAGGCAATAGGAAGGGAACACTTTGAGTGCATCAATGATGTTGTCTTACTTTTTTGTAGTATTCAAAATTATACTATAACGCTTGATATTTATTCTATTTTTTCTAATCGTAATTAGCAATTTTATTTACTCTGACTCTATGTTCCCCTTAGTGAAATATTCATCAAAAAATTAGTAACAAATAATAAAAGTCGGTACCCCAACATGTATTGCTCAGGCGTGACATCATTTTCTACTCTCCCGAGTTACCATAACCTTGTCAAGTTAGGCACTCGGAAGCAATGACATCTCTATGGCGAAAAGATGTACAATGAATCCATGACGTGTAGCATGGACCATTCGCACATTTACTTATTATTGCAATTTTCTCCTCAGACCGATCTCTGAGCTGACTTTTAGGTTTGTCTTGAGACATTGAGGTCATGCATTGTTGTCTATATAGACACACATACACATGAGAAAACATACGTGGATAACCTATCATAAAAAATGTTTTAGAATGTGAGGACGTGGGCATAGCCCAGTGGTTGGGGGCGCATGATTGTAAACCCAACGACCAGAGTTCGATCCACGTCGGGGACGAATTTCTGGAATTCTCATGAGGGATGCTTCTTCTATATCAATAAACCGTGGGTGCTAGTGCCCATGGAGTTTCATTTTGAGGACGTGGGCATAGCCCAGTGGTTGGGGGCGCATGATTGTAAACCTAATGACCAGAGTTCGATCCACGTCGGGGACGAATTTCTGGAATTCTCATGAGGGATGCTTCTTCTATATCAATAAAACCGTGGGTGCTAGTGCCCATGGAGTTTCATTTTTTCTTTTTTTTTTAAATGTTTTAGAATGTGAATATGCGTGCTTGCAGACAGAAAACATGAGCGCGGGTGGGATGATTTGCTTAGCCCCACTGTTGTTCCTCCTGCCACCAGGCATGTTGCCATCCAGCCCCTCGCGTTCCCGAGGATTGCGGCCACATCCTCCGACCTTTCTTCGCACCTTTTTTTTTTCGAGAGTACGCCTAGGCGTACCATAGCTTTATAGAAGGCAGAATTTAGTTACAAGAAAGCTACCGCTCGATGCAAACAACGAGTGTAGCACGAACACCACACCGACAAGACCACAAACAAACACCACCGCTAGGCAAGCTACTATGCAAAAAGCCTATCCTAAACTGATACACAGCACCGCGTCTCGATCGACGCCGGACACCTCCGAAGACCACACTTCCACAAAACTTCTCTTGTCGACGCACCATCCACCCTGAGCGCCTAAGAGAAAGTGGCAGATGAATGGCAGGACTCGATCCAATCCGGGAAGACGCCGCCTTGGATTCACCAACGACCAACGTACATAGCGCCACTGAAGATCAGAAAAGGATAGCGGCGAACACCGGAGGAGAGCAACGAGGAACCAGTCGTGTCTCCAAACACAATGCTCCCAACAGAGGAGCGGCGTCGAGGACACCGCCATCGTGCCGATCAGAACATCGAATCTAGGCTTTCACCTGGAGACATCCACCAACACCGAGAGCGCGAGGGATGAGGCGAACACGCTCGACGATGCCTCCAAGGAGGGGAATGACATCCACAGATGCCATCACCGCCGGCCCGGCAGAAGCCGTGCAAAATTTTCATCCGCGCTTCGCCCATCGCCACGCCTCCATGGGATTGGTAGCACTGCCAAGAAGCCTCACACCGCCGCCACCGCAGCACTTGCCGAAGTAGCTGCATAGCCGAGGACCAACGACCGACCACCCGGCAGGGAAACCGCGGCCACACATCCACTCCCAGCCTGCACGAGGGTCCGCAGCCAACCAGCACCTCCGGCCAGGTCCAGGACTGCCCGCAACGGCCGTCGCCCACTCCAAGGAACGACCTTGCGACAATCAGACACGCCTCTCCACGGAGAAATCCCAGGCCGGCATCACCAGGAAAGCACCGCCGCTCTCCACGCCGCACAGGGATGACCGAAAGCTCGCTGCTCGCAACACTCCATCTTGACCGAGCCATCGCAGCGCCGCCACCAACCTGCCCGTGAGAACCCAGCACTGCCTCCCGCTGGCGCCACCCCCACCAGATCGAGCCACATCTCCTCTGCCACACCCCGTCAGGCCCTCCGCATCACCACCTCACCTGCCGTGCGCCGGCCATGAGCCCTCACCTCCAGGCAACGCAGATCTGGCCTGGCACGAGCGCCTCCGCGGTGAGGAGCACCAAGCCGCCACCGGCCTGCGCGCTTCGCAGCGACACGCCATCACCAGCCAGCTGCGCCGGGCCTCTCCTCCTCCAGCCAGCGCCCACCACAGAGTCATGACGAGCGGCCCCGAGACACCGGACCAGCAGGACCTCGCGCGCTCAACCCCGCCGCCATCAGCCCCGCACCACCAGCACCGCACCACCACGCGGCGGATCCGGCCTGAGCAGCCCCGGATCCACCCCCCGACACCGGCGAAGAGGGCCACCACACCGGATCTTGCAGCGCCGTCGGATGGATCCCCGCTAGCTGGCGAGCGCCGACACAAAGGAGCCCCGCCGCCACCATCCCTGGGGCACGCGCGGCTTCGCCGGCGTCCTCTCCGGCGGCGGCGAAGCGGATGGGGGTGAGAGGGAGTGGGCCGGCGGCGGCGCGATGGGGCTGCCCCCGAGCCGCCAGAGGAGGCGACGCGGGGGGAGGGAGCGTTTCTTCGCACCTTCACCTCCCTACTCAAGCTCTGCCCATAGGACATGTCACCCACACCCAGGCAGTAGGACGGGCTCTTGCAGTGGACAAGATCATCAAAATACACTAACCAAGAAAAGAATTAGGTGATTATGGCTCTCAAATCTGAAATGACAAGCGTAAGTTCGGACCAATCTTAAAATAAAAGGTGCCCTCTTGCTCTTGATTGCATTGGATGGTGAGAAAACATTTCATAAAATCAACACGAGATGAATATTCTCACCAACGTGTTGTATGAACATCGGTCAAAGGGGTTCTCTGATTGTTCCGCGAGTCATTTAGTTTCACCACCGCAATTTATATACTACACGAAAAATTCTCCTACACTGCCGCAAAAACAACAACAACAATGCAATTGAAGAAAGAAGAAATAGTAGTAGAAGAAAAAAAAAAGGCATTGAGATTCGTGCGGATGCTTAGCTGCCCTGTGGCTGAGGTTGTGACGGGATAACTCAGAGAAAAAAACAAATACAAGAGGACATGCTGTGCTCGGCCTCGTCGCCGACTCCTCCCGCCGGCGGGCATGCCGCCGCCGACCACCACGCGCGCCTAAGGTCAGCGGCCGCGCGCTCCGACCTGCCGGGCGCGCTCGCAGCCTTCGCCGCCATGTCCTCCTCCGCGTCCGCCAGCCCCGTCCTCCGCACCTTCACCTCCCTCCTCAAGCTCTGCGCGGCGCGCGCCGACCTCGCGACCGGCCGCGCCGTCCACGCGCAGCTCGCCGCGCGGGGGCTCTCCGCGGAGTCCCTCGCCGCCACGGCGCTGGCCAACATGTACGCCAAGTGCCGCCGGCCGGGCGACGCGCGCAGGGTGTTCGACCGTATGCCCGTGCGCGACCGCGTCGCCTGGAACGCGCTCGTGGCCGGGTACGCGCGGAACGGGCTCGCCGGGGCCGCCATGGAGATGTTCGTCCGGATGCAGGAGGAGGACGGGGAGCGGCCCGACTCCGTCACGCTGGTGTCTGTGCTGCCCGCTTGCGCCGACGCCCAGGCGCTCGGGGCCTGCCGTGAGGTGCACGGGTTTGCGGTCCGTGCTAGCTTCGACGAGCTCGTCAATGTCTCCACTGCGATCCTTGATGTGTACTGCAAGTGCGGGGCGGTTGAGGTTGCCAGGTCTGTCTTCGATCGGATGCCGGACAAGAACTCTGTTTCTTGGAATGCCATGATCAAGGGGTATGCTGAGAATGGGGATGCCACTGAGGCTCTCATGCTGTTCAAGAGGATGGTGGGGGAGGGTGTTGATGTGACGGACGTATCTGTGCTGGCAGCATTGCACGCCTGCGGTGAGCTTGGGTATCTTGATGAGGGGAGACGTGTCCATGAGCTACTCATGAGAATTGGGCTGGAGTCAAATGTGTCGGTGATGAATGCGCTGATCACCATGTACTCCAAATGCAAGAGGACCGACCTCGCTGGCCAGGTTTTCGATGAGGTGCGCTACAAGACATGGATCTCCTGGAACGCCATGATCCTCGGGTGCACACAGAATGGAAGGTCAGAAGATGCAGTGAGGCTCTTCTCTAGGATGCAGCTGAAAAATGTGAAGCCTGATTCGTTCACTCTCGTCAGTGTCATTCCTGCACTTGCAGACATCTCAGATCCACTGCAGGCAAGATGGATCCATGGATACTCTATCAGGATGCACCTAGATCAGGATGTGTATGTTCTGACAGCCCTTATTGACATGTATGCAAAATGCGGCCGTGTCAGTATAGCTAGAAGTCTCTTCAACTCAGCAAGGGAGAAGCATGTTATCACATGGAATGCGATGATCCATGGGTACGGCTCACATGGTTTTGGCAAGGTTGCAGTTGACCTGTTTGAAGAGATGAAAAGTTCTGGCAGAGTGCCCAACGAGACAACATTCCTTTCGGTCCTCTCGGCATGCAGTCATGCTGGTTTGGTTGATGAAGGGCGGAAATATTTTTCGAGCATGAAGGACGGCTATGGGTTTGAACCTGGGATGGAGCACTATGGTACCATGGTGGATCTTCTTGGCCGAGCTGGGAAGCTAGATGAAGCATGGTCTTTTATCCAAAAGATGCCTATGGACCCTGGCATTAGTGTTTATGGTGCATTGTTAGGCGCTTGCAAGTTGCACAAGAATGTGGAATTGGCAGAAGAATCAGCGCAGAGGATCTTTGAGCTAGGGCCAGATGAAGGTGTGTATCATGTCCTCCTAGCTAACATTTATGCAAATGCCTCAATGTGGAAGGATGTTGCAAGGGTTAGAACTGCTATGGAGAAGAAAGGCCTCCAAAAGACTCCTGGATGGAGTATTGTGCAGCTCAAGAATGAGATTCATACCTTCTATTCTGGAAGCACAAATCACCAGCAGGCAAAGGACATTTATGCAAGGTTGGCTAAGCTAATAGAAGAGATCAAAGCTGTGGGCTATGTGCCGGACACTGATTCGATACATGATGTAGAAGATGATGTCAAGGCACAGTTACTCAACACGCACAGTGAGAAACTTGCGATTGCATATGGGCTCATTCGCACAACCCCTGGTACAACAATTCAGATAAAGAAGAACCTCCGCGTCTGTAACGACTGTCACAATGCAACCAAGTTAATATCTCTGGTGACAGGACGGGAAATAATCATGAGAGATATTCAACGATTTCACCATTTTAAGGATGGTAAATGTTCATGTGGAGACTACTGGTAGTGAAGTGTTGAAGGCAGTCTGAATATGGATTTTGAGATGATAAAACTTTGCCCAGCTACTATACAAGTAAGCCTATGAATTTGGACTATAATGTGGACTATACTAATTGGAACATATATTAAGGCACTCACTAAGTTTTATTTGTGGCACACTTTGTGTGACCACATCACTCTCTAGAAATGATTTTTCGTTATTGATGATCAGAATTACCTTGCCACACTTTTTGACAGGTCTAGCAGGTGCCTTTTGTATTTGCATCAGGGCTCAAATTCTGAAGCACCAGGCAGCTCTTTGCCTCTTATGATCATCTAACCTTCTCAGGGAACATTCTGTAGATCCCAGTCCATTTACATTGGTATTGTAACACATTTAACAATTATGATGTTTCTACCTTCATGTGAAATAGTGCACATGGAAGTTGTTAACCACAGAAAACACTGCTATTTTATTCTCGTCTGGAATTAGATGATGTACATGATGAGTGCAAACTGTTGATAACTAATTAACACTTAAGTCTTACCATTTTGCATACTTGAGACTGTGAGATGAGTATGTAACAACATCTTGTATTCTGTAATGAATATCAAGGACTGTAACAACATTCTGTCCTTTATTCACCATTTTGTTCCCACATTATCCCAAAATCCCATTAAAAATGGATTGACATATGCATGTTTACAATTGAGTATACATTGAATACTTAATTCTTCTGTTGTAAGTTTTGCGTACTTCGAAGCTAAGGATCACTTCTCACTCTGAATTTAGTTTCCAATTGCTGTTTAAAACTATTCTACAGTTCTGCTCCATGGACATGGCAGCTCTCTTTTGTCTCAGTTTTTTGAACTTTGTGCTGATGGTGTTGACATCTGCCTGCCAATTGTAGCGATGAACTCCACTGCCACTTTGAGTGCATTAATAGATGCCAGGTTCATCAGGCTTGTTGATGACCATGTTGGTTCCCCTCCAGCCAGATCAGATACTCCCCGGAACACAATCACAGGTACGCCAGGAGATGTTGTTGTCTGTTGAAACATTAAGTGCTCTTAATTAGTGATATCTTAAATTTTATGATTGAGCCGATATGATGCAGCGCAAATGTTGCCACATATTTAAGTAAAGACTATGAGAGATAAGATATGGAACCCACCATCACCACTGCTGCGCTTTCTTCATCTATTGTTGACACCGCAAATTCTCTGAAAAGGAACTTCCGGTATTCTGCATTGTCTAGAAACATGTCGGCTGATGCTCCTTTTAGCCCATGAACCACTTGTGGCGTTTTTGGTAAGCAAAAAGTGTCATTACATCTTTCAAGGTTGACCTACAAAAATTCCACATTACAAGTATTAGGCTGTGGTCACTACGAATAATCCTGTCCTTGCTATACTGCTGAAATATAGTGTATTTTTCACCTTAAGTCCTTCTGCTATTTTGAACCATGCTGAGTCGACAGGTAACCAAAAGACTTCTTCCATAGGCTTACCAACTGAATATAGCTCCTCATTTCTGTATTTCAGAGACCCTAGCAGGTTCTCTCCTCCATCCGGGATGTTAAATTGTCCAAAGTTTAGTTCTGTTGATGATTCTTTTAATGACTTGAACTTCTGGAAAAATCAAAATCAGAATAGCAGAGGTCTTGTTAAGTAGTGAGCTCAACATGTGAGATGGTTGATGGTAGATTATCTTCTAAATTTTAATGGCAAGTTGTTCTTAAATTATCTCCTCTTTCGACTCCAGATGTGTTACATTCTACTAATGTGATTCCCTTGTTTTAGTGTACCATACAGTTTAAAGTGCACAAGAAATGGGGAATAAAAGCTAATTACAGGAGAGTACCTTCCATGTCCAAGCACCTGTATAAGCAACTAACTTTGGGACACTGACATCGCCAAATGACATTGAATCATTAGAGCTTCCTGCTGTGCCATAATGGACAATACCAGACACAGTAAAGACATCGAGGAGAGTTTGTACAGTTACAGCTGCATTCAACTGGAAGAACAAAGAAATAGTGGTAACGGGTAAGCATAGTACAATTCATATTTGAATTCATATGTTGTTGCTTTATTGCCTACAAGTAATTTTTCTTGATTTCTTTTTATAAATCAAAAGGAGCTCCTCCCTATAACAGCAGGAGTGTACATGCAGAAGTTCAGGTTTTAGTACCCTGCGTTGTCCTGTCAATGCGTATATAACATTCACACCTCGAATACTCCCGATGTGAAACCTCCGTCCTGAAATAATATGAGGCGAGACTATTCTTGAGGCAATTGGAAGATAAATACACATATGCATTAAAGACTGAAATACTTAGTCATGGAGCTCGAATGAGAGGTCAGTCCTATCAGGAGAATAGCAAAATCAGTGAACATGTAAAAAAGATTATGGTACAGCAGCGAACTTGTTATGATTGTATCTTCCTTTTCCATTTTCTCTTTCTAATGGAGTATGTTATCTTCTTGTGTGTCATGTTTTCCTTCTAGTCGCTTTCTGGACCCCCTTTCCATAGCTGTTATCCAAAACGAGTGAATGGGCCAATCTGCATTCTGGTCTTGGAAGGGAGTCCAGGTCTTTGTGAGCGCAGATCATGCAAATTTGCAGAGCCAGTAAGGTTCGTCGTGTGCGCACAGCTTCAGGCATCTCTAAATTTCAAGTCGATAAACACCACACTATCATTTCTACCTGTTGCCCCACTCTGTTCTGTGTTGTGTGTTGGTGTCTGGTTCAGTTAGCAGCAGTTCAGCACTCACTGCTAGCTGTCTGGTAACAACCAAAAAGTCAACTAGGAATGCCAAAACTCACCCACTGCTTTGCTCAATCTACAGGAAAGCCGAAAGCGATTCGGATCAGAAACGGGAGGCGGAGACTCACCGTAGAGGTCAACGAAGGGCTGGACACGCCAGGGCCGGAAGTAGCCGGAGGCCTGGAGCGCGGTGTCCTCGGCGACGTACGACATGACGAGTCCAATGGACGGGCCACGCCGGTTCGCCCTGTCGACTTGCTGCCTCACCCTGTCCATCCCGGGCAGCGCCGGTAGGGCCGTCGTCGACGAGCCGGCCAGCAAGCAGAGCAGCAGGACTAGCGGCAGGCTGGAGAGCTCCATGGCCATGGCTGGCGTGGACAGGGAGCAAGCAAGCTAGCAAGGAGCAAACTTAGAAGATGGGGCAGTTTAATTAGCTGCGCTGGTCTGTGGTCCGCGAACCGCGATGGCGATGGTGATTGGGTTGGTTTGGTGGAGAAGGTGATGAGCGTGCTTCCATTTTTATACTCGGATGTGATTGGGGATGTCTCTGTCAGAGGATTTGTGCCACCAAGCCAAATCACGTGTTGAATGTTGTACCGGGTAAAACACGGCAAAACAGAGGAGGTTATTCGTTGTTTTTAATTTGTTTTTATTATTTATTTTTGTTTTTGGGTACATGAACTGCTGAACACTGTTTATTATGTTAGTGGAACTGGGGTTGCCCTTTCTGAAGAAAATGTAAATATTGTTTTTTTTGTGTGTCATCCTTGCGCAGGGGCCATGCTAATCTTCTCTGTACCGTTCCAATTTTATGGCCATGCTAATCTTCTTTGTACCGTTCCAATTTTATCGGATGTCTTGCTGAAACTAATTTGTCGAGTTAGTTTTCTGGATCACAAAGCCCGACTTCATGATAAGTGAAACAGAATGGCGGAATATGGCATGTGTTTATATAGAAGCCGGGCTGTCATCTCTACCCTGTGCATTTTATTAATTTCGCCACCTACCTCTTCATGTGACATGCCTAAACTACACTTACCCACTCCTATATATTTTACACCATGTTCGCATGAACGCGTAGGAAAGCCCATCGTCTCGCATTCATTCATCCATGCATTTCACATTTGCACATAACTCTCTCTTCACCATTTTCGTACAATAAGTAGATTTCAATACACATAAACATAGAACATGATGGTGGACACATAATCATAATGATGTTAGCAAACACGTATGGCTGGGAGGCATCAGGAAAGAAACAAATACGTGAATGGATCCTTCCACACCCAATGGCGATCATGTTGCCACACCCAAAGAGCACACTATTCCATTGACAGTTGGACTGCAAACATGAGAGCTCCTAATCGGCGCCTTGAGCACCTGCTAAGCATTACGGCGCATAGGGGCGCGACGGCATGAGCCGGCCAATGAATCGCCAAGCCAGTTCCTCGCTCGCATGCGTCGCATCTATCGTTTGTTCGTTCGCACAGCGGCACAGGGGCATAACTTGTCTTTTTTCACTCGTTCTGTAGAAATCTATTGGTCTAGGGAGAAAAAACATGACTGGTTTTTCTAGTATTTAACAGAAATCTGGTCTAGGGAAGTATTTAAAAATTTGTGAAACAAAAAAAATGTACGTGGGTTTCAAAAAACTCAAGAATTAGAAAAAAGGTTTGCAAATTTACAAAATTCATGATTTAGAAAAGTTCATCAATTTGAAAGGTTTGTCGATTTTGGGAAAAAAGTCCAAAATTTGAAAAAGTTGGTCAATTTTAGAAAAACTTCACCGATTTTGACAATGAACTGCTAGCAGTTTGAAGACAACCAAGAAATATCAATTATGATAACCAAAAAAGGATTTGGGTCATTAAGCAAAATAACGTGTTGAGTGTTGTACTGGAAAAACATTGCAAAACAGAGGATGATTATTTGTTGTTTACTTTTTCTTATTCTTTTTGTGGAAGCTGAAATACGGTATGCTTGTGTTGGTTGAATGAAAGACCGGGTGTTTATTAACGTGAGATTTTCTAGCCTATATTTTAACTTATTTTTTTACGGTGAGAGTAAGAGCATCTACAGCCGGACTAGGCAAAAAATCTGGCAGTGACGACCAGTCATCAAATTTGCTCATCTACATCCGGATACCTCATACGAGAAATCTTAAATCCATATAAAAGAATGCAAGATAAATTTTACAGACTACGTAGATCAACTACCCTAATCCTCTTTGGAGATGTCCACTATCTTTGTGCCCGGCTCTAGGTATATGGGTGCAGCCGCAGCTCCGGCTCCTCCGCGTCGGCCTCCACATCAATCTTCGCTCCGACCTTATCAAAGAGTGCGTCGGTCGCTGCCCATTCCTGTCGGATGAACTACTGGTTGGCCTCCACATAGGCCTCATCCTGGATGGACTCCAGGATGGCCTACTGCTCCGCCATCTCGTCCGCTCGGGCGACGATGAACTCCGCCTCTGCGTCCTCCATGTTGAAGCCAAAGTCGGCGCCAGCTCCTGCTATGTCTGCCCCGCCTCGTCTACCTCCTCCTCTTCCTCCACCTTCATCGAAGCCGAATGCTGCTCCTCTCCCTCCTCCTCCTCCGCCTGCTCCTCCTCCTCCTCCTCCAGCTCCGGCTAGTCCGGAGGTAGTCTCACAACAATGCAGATGGCTGATAACCCACAAGTGTAGGGGATCGCAACAGATTTCGAGGGTAAAGTATTCAACCCAAATTTATTGATTCGACACAAGGGGAGCCAAAAAATATTCTGGAGTATTAGTAGTTGAGTTGTTAATTCAACCACACCTGGATAACTTAGTATCTGCAGCAAATTATTTAGTAGCAAAGTAGTATGATAATAAATGTAACGGTGGCAAAAGTAAAGATAATAGTTTTGGGGTTTTTGTAGTAGTTGTAACAGTAGCAACAGAAAAGTAAATAAGCGAAGAACAATATATGAAAAGCTCGTAGGCAATGGATCAGTGAAGGATAATTATGCCGGATGCGATTCCTCATGTAATAGCTATAACATAGGGTGACACAGAACTAGCTCCAGTTCATCAATGTAATGTAGGCATGTATTATGTAAATAGTCATACGTGCTTATGGAAAAGAACTTGCATGACATCTTTTGTCCTACCCCCCGTGGCAGCGGGGTTCCAGCGGTAACTAAGGGATATTAAGGTCTCCTTTTAATAGAGAACCGGAACAAAGCATTAGCACATAGTGAATACATGAACTCCTCAAACTACGGTCATCACCGAGAAGTATCCCGGTTATTTTCACTTCGGGGTTGTCGGATCATAACACATAATAGGTGACTATAGACTTGCAAGATAGGATCAAGAACACACATATATTCATGAAAACATAATAGGTTCAGATCTGAAATCATGGCACTCGGGCCCAAGTGACAAGCATTAAGCATAGCAAAGTCATAATAACATCAATCTCAGAACATAGTGGATACTAGGGATCAAACCCTAACAAAACTAACTTGATTACATGGTAAATCTCATCCAACCCATCACCATCTAGTAAACCTACGATGGAATTACTCACGCACGGCGGTGAGCATCATGAAATTGGTGGAGGATGGTTGATGATGACGACGGCGACGAATCCCCCTCTCCGAAGCCCCGAACGGACTGCAGATCAGCCCTCCCGAGAGAGATTAGGGCTTGGCGGCGGCTCCGTGTCGTAAAACGCAATGAAACTTTCTCTCTGATTTTTTCTCCCCGAACGTGAATATATGGAGTTGGATTTAAGGTCGGTGGAGGTCCAGGGGGCCCATGAGATAGGGGGCGCGCCCTATAGGGGGGCGCCCCCTGTCTCGTGGACAGGGTGTGGTCCCCTGGTGTATTCCTTTCTTCCAGAAATTCTTATTAATTCCAAAAAGTGCCTCCATGGATTTTCAGGACATTCCGAAAACTTTTCTTTTCTACACATAAAACAACATCATGGCAGTTCTGCTGAAAACAGCGTTAGTCCGGGTTTGTTTCATTCAAATCATGCAAGTTAGAGTCCAAAACAAGGGCAAAAGTGTTTGGAAAAGTAGATACGTTGGAGACGTATCAACTCCCCCAAGCTTAAACCTTTGCTTGTCCTCAAGCAATTCAGTTGATAAACTGAAGGTGATAAATAAAAACTTTTACAAACTCTGTTTGCTCTTGTTGTTGTAAACATGAAAAGCCAGCATTCAAGTTTCAGCAAATATTATGAACTAACCATACTCACAATAACACTTAGGTCTCACAATTACTCATATCAATAGCATAATCAGATAGCGAGCCATAATAATAAAATTCGGATGACAACACTTTCTCAAAACAATCATAACATGATATAACAAAATGGTATCTCGCTAGCCCTTTCCGAGACCGCAAAACATAAATGCAGAACACCTTTAAAGATCAAGGACTGACTAAACATTGTAATTCATGGTAAAAGAGATTCAGTCAAGTCATACCCAATATAAACCAATAGTAATGAACGCAAATGACAGTGTGCTCTCCAGCGAGTGCTTTTAATGAGAAGGGTGATGACTCAACATAAAAGTAGATAGATAGGCCCTTCGTAGAGGGAAGCAGGGATTTGTAGAGGTGCCAGAGCTCAATTATAAAATAGAGATTGAATAACATTTTGAGCGACATACTTTCGCTGTCAACACAACAACTATGAGATGGCTGTATCTTCCATACTACATGCATTATAGGAAGTTCCCAAACAGAATGGTAAAGGTTTATACTCCCCCAACCACCAACAAGCATCAATCCATGGCTTTCTCGAAACAACAAGTGCCTCCAACTAACAACAGCCCTGGGGGAGTTTTGTTTAATTATTTTGATTTGCTTTGATCTTTTTAGATCATGGGACTGGGCATCCCGGTTACCGGCCCTTTCTCGTGAATGAGGAGCGGAGTCCACTCCTCTTGAGAATAACCCACCTAGCATGGAAGATATAGGCATCCCTAGTTGTAACATGAGCTGCTCGAGCATACAAAACGGAATTTCATTTGAAGGTTTGGAGTTTGGCATATATAAATTTACTTGGAATGGTAGGTAAATACCGCATATAGGAAGGTATAGTGGACTCATATGGAACAACTTTGGGGTTTAAGGAGTTTGGATGCACAAGTAGTATTCCCTCTTAGTACAGGTGAAGGCTAGCAAAAGACTGGGAAGCGACCAACTGAGAGAGCGACAACAGTCGTAAATATGCATTAAAATTAATTCACACCGAGTACAAGCATGAGTAGGATATAATCCACCATGAACATAAATATCATGAAGGCTATGTTGATTTGATTCAACTACATGCGTGAACATGTGCCAAGTCGAGTCACTCAATTCATTCAAAGGAGGATACCATCC